TGCGTAAACTGGTTCTTTGGAATCAGACATTTTATTAAATTAGCTTTATGAAATATACTAAATTATAATGAAAAACGGAACAGAAATTGCAATATGTTAGTCACTAAACACTAAAAAAATACTCGGCTCTCGGGCCCACTGTCAAATATGGCCTACAGTAGCAGAGGGTCATGTGATGAATCGAAATTTCGCAGGTGGAATGACGACAAAAAGCAAGACGTGATTGGTTGCCACCTATTATAAGCTAAAATCTCCGCCAATGAAATTCTTTGTAACATTGATCCTATGACGTAAATAATCGACTTTAAAACTTGCAATATCGTTTTTAGCAAGATTTAAAAGTTGCTAAATCGACGGCAATTTTTTAAATATTAGCTAAAATTTCTACGAATAATGAATTATAAAAAAATTACATTCAATTTAATACATTCATTCCATAAATTTTAATATTTACAAATATAATTTCTTGATAAAAAAAAATAAAAATCCATCTGCACAAAGAAATTAATTCCAAAATTAAATTTTATATTTTTAAAAAAAAATGAAAGGATGAAAATAAAGCATTCATTTATTACAATCTATTTTACCAAAAAATAATTATTTAACATTCAAGGCTCGATTTAAACTTTATAGTCGAGTAATACAAAACTTTGGTTAATTAGAAAAGTCTGGAAACTGGTAACATTATCAAGTACACAAATTTTATAAAAAGTTTTATATTAAATGGTATAAAAAAACAATTTTCAACGAATACTTGTCTTGTTGCTATAATTTTAATTTCATATCAAAAAAATTGTTCTTTAATCTGATTCTGCAGCTTCCATCATTAATTTTTTTCTTTTATTAATCATTTTTTTCTCGTAAAAATCAGTTTCATCAAGTTTAATTTCTGCTTCTCTTTTGGTTACTTTCACTTGTGTTAAAATTTTTATTACTTCTTTATCTGCAATTTTAACAAGTTTTTTTTTTTCCCAATTATAATTTTTTAAATAATTTTAGTAAACTATGATATCACATAGAATACTTAAAAATTAATTTTCTTGTAAAAATCAACCTACCGTTAATTGAATATTCCTTTAGTTTTGTGTTTATAATACTTTCAATGGCATGGATAAGTTTTATATCAACTGGAGTGACAAGTGAAACAGACATACCAGCTCTTCCAGCACGAGCAGTTCTACCAACTCTATGAATATAATCTTTGGGAACATTCGGAATAGAATGATTAATTACCAATTCTACTGTTGGAATATCCAAACCTGCAATAACATTATGTAAAATTCTTCTGTTTACAAATATAAGAAATTTTTTTAATAAAAAACTTTATGAGAAAAAAAGATATAAAAACCTCTGCTGGCAATATCAGTGGCAATAAGCGTTTTAACAATATTCGATTTAAATCTAGAAAGAGCAGCAAGCCTTTCTTTTTGTTTCATCATTGAATGTATTGCAACATTTTCAAAACCGACTTCATTTAAAGTCATTGAGAGAAGTTGACAATTCCTAAAACAAAAAAATATTTTTGTACAATTAACATTATAGAAAACTTCATCACATAAACTTGTAATGAAGCTTTATTACAAGTTTATGTAACAATTTTCAAAACCTAATTTTATTAGAATTTGCTGTTGTTAACTAAAATAACAATATGAAAAATTGACAAGATCAGCTACATTAGGAAAACAATCAATTTTTTACAATAGAATTTTATGAAAATAAATACCTGCATGTATCTGTGAAAATTATAATATTTCCATTTTCATTGTTTTTCCTGTACAATTGGATTACTTCAACAAGGTAAGCATCTTTGACATGGTCTGGGCATAGAACATAAAATTGTTGTAAATTATCTACTGTCGCAACATCAGATTTGTCAATGAATGAAAATACCTGCAACACAAATAAAAGTAATTAGTCTATTAATTTTGAAAAAGAAAAAAAAATTTAAAAAAAAGATATTAAACAATATTATTAAATCTAAAATGATAAATATTGTTTTACATTTCTGGATGAAACATTACTCACATTTTTCGAAAGTAATTCTTCAGCCTGTTTCAAAGTATCATTGATAGTTGCACTGAACAACAATATTTGCTTTTTAAGCGGAAGACTTTTAAATATTGTGCTAATCTGAAAAAAAAAAAAAACAATATTATTATAGTTATTACACAAAATAAATGATAAAAAATAAATTAAAAAGGTTAGAAAAATTATTACCTGATCATCAAACTGACCCGATAGTAACCTATCTGCTTCATCTAAAACTAAAAACCTAATTTTTTTCAATGAAAATGTATTACAACTATCCAAATGATCAGCTAAACGACCTGGAGTCGACACAACTATGTGAGGCCTTTTGGACAATTCCTGCCCTTGGGTAACCATATCCATTCCACCTGATATGACGCATAATTTTAAGTTAATAACTTTACCATATGCTAAAAACTGTTCACCGATTTGAAAAGCTAGTTCACGAGTTGGAGTTAAAACCAAAGCAAATATTCCAAAAGGTTCTTCGCTTAATTTTTGTAATATAGGCAAGGCAAAAGCCAATGTTTTTCCACTACCAGTTTTTGCACATCCAATGCAATCATTGCCTTCTAAAATTTTTGGAATGCAATGTGCCTGAATTGGAGTTGGTTTAGTCAAACCTGAAAATTAAAATAATGTTAACACTCATATAATTCAAAATAAAAATACAAAAAACTCTACACACACAAAAACAAAAATTATTATTTTTTAATTTCTAATTTATTTATAACGTAATTGTAGAATTGTAACATAAATTCACCTTAAAATTTGTAAAAACAAAATGAAATTGAACTTACCAAACGAATCACATTGTCTTACAATCCATTTGTTTAAATTTAAATCTTCAAAACGTTCTTTCATATTAGTTAATGATGCTATGTTGACAAATCATAAGATTACGTGATTTTGCTGAGTTGGAAGTTTTATATGCAAGTACTAATTATTATTAATTTTTTTTTAATTTAATAGGGAAAAAATATTTTTAAAATAGTTATTCACGTGTTTTAAAAAAATAACACCTAACGGGTTTTCTATACTCTTCTTAAAAGTTAAAATTTTTATGCAATTATTTGTGTCTTAACCTTCATAACTGAATAACCGGTAAAAGTAATTGATTATTTATATCCTTTAAATGCAATTTTTTTGTTTAAAAATTATTTTAAATTTTATTTTTAGTGTATGCAATGCACAATTTTTATGTCTCTCTGTTTTTCTTACTGGTTGGAAGCGTATCTCTGGCGATACCTAAACCTGAGGATGTTAAAAATCGAGTTTTGCATAGGGTACACTTTTATTTTATACTTTTTACATTAAACGTTATTTGAAGTTGTTAATAATTATATTATTTTATAAAGATAACTAATTTGCGTTTTTATTTTGAAGGATTTGAGCAACAAAGAACATTTTCAACATTCCGAACATAATGTAGAATATGATCATGAAGCTTTTTTGGGAGAGGAAGCAAAGACTTTTGATCAATTAACACCAGAGGAGAGTAAAAGAAGACTGGGGTAATAATAACATGTTTTCATCATATCATTATTTTTTTGTAAAAAACAATTTTAATTAAACATTTTAAAAATTAATTTTACTTTAGATTAATAGTCGATAAAATCGATAAAGATGCCGATGGTTTCGTATCTCAAGATGAATTAAAAAATTGGATTGAATATACTCAGAAAAAATATATTCAAGATGATGTTGATAGTCAATGGAAAGTACATGTCACACCAGATAAAAATAAATTAGAATGGGATACATATAAAAAAAAATTTTATGGATTTGTCGAAGGTTTAAATATAATAATTATTATTTTATACACTTACTATTATAAGTGCTTCTGAAATAGTAAAATAATAAAAACATAATTTTTGTTTTTACGTAAAATAATTCCAAAAATATTATTTAGATATTGAGCCGAAAGAACTTGATAAAAATGAAGATGGATATTCCTACAAATATATGATAAAAAGAGATAGAAGAAGATGGAGCATTGCAGATGAAGATGGTGATGATGCTCTTACCAAAGAAGAATTTTCAGGATTTTTACATCCTGAAGAAATGCCCAACATGAGAGATGTTGTCGTTTTGGAGACAATGGAAGATATTGACAAGGATAAAGATGGAAAAATATCTTTAGAAGAATATATTGGTAAATGTTTAACATTTGAAAAATTCTTTTTTTTTTTTATAATATCCACATAATAATTTCATTTTATAAAAAATTTATCTGTTTCAGGTGACATGTATAAAGGTGGAGATGGAGAACCCGAACCTGATTGGGTTAAGAATGAAAGAGAACAATTTTCTAATTTCCGTGACAAAAATGGTGATGGTTTCATGGATGAAGAAGAAGTGAAAAATTGGATTATTCCACCTGATTTTGATCATGCAGAAGCAGAGGCTAGGCATTTAATTTATGAATCTGATTCTGATTCCGATCAAAAATTAACCAAAGCTGAAATTCTTGCCAAATATGATCTTTTTGTCGGTTCTCAAGCTACTGATTTTGGTGAAGCTTTAACACGTCATGACGAATTTTAAAATTAATGTAAAACATCCCATCATAATAATAATAATATGTACTTTTCTTAAGTTAAGTTTTTAAGCACATTAAGTAGATTTTTTTAGTTAAGTATTAATTTCACAATTCCACTTTTTTTACTAACCTCTTTGTCTCTAGACACCTTTATTTATACCTTAAAGGTTTTAATTCACATAAAATACTCGCTATGACTCTAAAAAATTATTTTTAATATTACATTTTATAATTATTATCGCTTCTTCTGCAAAGACTTAAAATTTTAAAATGTTATTTATAATTAAATAAATTTTCAAAAAAAAAAGAAATATTTACACGAAATGAAATTTATGTAGTGTCTTTTTTTTGTGGCTGTTTTAAAAAAATTTACACTGTTATTATAAATTTATGCTGTTTAAAATTATTACAATTAAGTGCCATTTGATTTGTTGAATTAAAAAAATATTTGTTTGAATAGTTTTAAATGAAATATTCATGTTGTTTTATAATTGAGTTATTATTAAGTTTGAACTTGTATACCATAAAATGTCTCGACAAAATATTATGAATGAAAAAAAGAAATTTTTTTAATTATTGATAAAACTGCCAAGATATATATATATATATATATTTTAATAAAAATAATTTTAAAGAAAATGTTTCAAATTATTATTTTTATTATTAATATTTGTACTATTTGTAGCCAAAGAAAAATTTAATTAGATTAGTATAATAAACATTAAATTTTACTTAATAAAAATTTTAAATGTAACCTGATATTAATTTTTAATAAATTTTTGTTTAATTAAAAAAATAATAGCAAATTGTTGCATTATTTTTGTATTTTACTTTGAAATTTAAGATTTTCTAATAGATAAATTATTAATTTCATCAGCTACTTTTTTACAAATATATGAAATTCTTTGACAGTCATTTTTTTCTTCCTCAGAAACTATATTTATTTTAAAAGCTTGAAAATGATTTCGAGTAATCAATCTTCCTGTACAAATAACTAAACTTTTTAGTAATATTTTAGGTAGGGGCCTGTCAATTTCATAATAAAACACTTGTATTTTAGACCAGTTTTAGAGTCACACAGATTAATAATTTTTTCACAATTCCAACGACCAATTTGATATATCACGATTCCTATTAATTCAAATATTATTTCGAATTGATTTTTTAATTTCGACCATAAATTAACATTTTCAATAGACCCGGTAAATATTCTAAATAATTTATCTCTACGTTGAATTTTTAAATCTTGATTTCCTAATGAAAAATTTGTTATTAAATTACCACATTCCATTACTGAAACGTTTAATTTATCATTTTTCATTTTAGTAAGAGCCATTTTATTATCTTGACTATTATTATTATTTAAACAGATTTCTTTTCTCTTTTTTACGGATTGGTATTTTTTTGTACTCTCTTGTACATTTATACAATTTTCAATGGGAATATCAAAACCGCCATTTTTATAATTCATCTGAGTAAAAAAAAAAAACTCATCACTTATAATAGTTAATAAATTACTTTGACAAAAGAAAAATTAATATTATAAATATTATAATATATTTCATAATATCAATATAATATAATAATATATATAATATATTATAATATTATATTAATATAATATATATTTATTAATATAATATAATATTATATTAATATAATATATATAATTAATATAATATATATTATAATATTATAATATATATAATATATAATATATATTATAATATATTTTCAGTATAACATAATAATACAACTCTTACTTTTTTTAAGTTTGAAATTTTTCAATATATATTATAAATTTTAATTATATAATGAACTAAATAACTTACCGAATTTTTGGAGTAAGAAAGTTTTTGAAAATTCATTTCAAAATTTTTCATTTTTTTTTTTTTCACTTTTAATAAAAATGTCAATTTTTTACACCACTGAATCACAAAATATTAAATATTAAATATTAAATTTTTAAAAATTTTTATTTATGTCACAAAAAAAAATTATTTAAAATTAACTTTCGAGAAACTCTTTAAGAAAAGTCCGTTACACTCTTAAGATCAAACTGAAATGAATCATCGTCATCGAATGACGTAAAAACAGTTCTACCAACTTAAATTTTTTTTTTCCCTTCAAAATATTTACATTTAATTTCACCTAAAATAACGAATTAAATTATTTTAAATACTTTTTTTTTTGTTTCTTTTAATTTTATAATTGACTTACCTATATTATAAAATCTTTGATATATATTATTAAAATAATATATAAAAACTTTTAAAATATTGTAAACGTGAAATAATAAATAAAAATTTTAAAAGTGTATTACAGTGTAACTAACTTTAAAAGTCAATATGAGTTTAAAAATTAACAAATAATATTTGTGTAATTATTATTATAAAAAAATTATCAATAATATAAACATTTTAAAACTATTTAAATACTTTTTTTTAATGAAAATACCTAAACTCCTATCATTAAAATAAAAAATTTAATTTAATTTTGATAAAGTTCTGTTTTGATGATACCTTTACAAACCGCCATTTTTAAAATTTATTTCAATATAATAGGAAATTTTAAAATAGAAAATAAATTCAATTTTTATTTTCATTTCAAAACTTTTAATAAAAAATACAAATTATGGTAATAACAAATAATTTTTTTGCCTTCATTAAATATATAATAATAATTATAAATATTTTTATAAATTATTGTCAAAACTACTACAGAGCTATAAATTATTCACCCGTTTCTCTTATTCAGCTAGAAAATGCTTTTAAATTTAAAATTTAAAAAAAAAATTTAATTTGTGTCACTTTGCAGGCACTTTTGGTATTTAAATCTAAAAATTTTTTTCCTTTTTAAATGGAAAACCGAGTTATTTTTTGTTAAGCGACAGCATAAATATTTATTATTAGCAATATCATTTTATTATTTATTAAAATAATTTTTTTAATATTCGTATATCAAATTATTCTCAATAATTTTTTTTTTTTTTAACTCGCCATATTGGTTTTTAATTATTATTTTTAAATCTCGTCGGTTTAAATATCATTTTCAAAATTTAGTATAATAAACTATAATTTTAAATAATTTAACGGTAATTAATTGTTCTAAACAATTAAAATAAATTAATTCAATGTTTTACTTTTGTTATCCTGAGCTCAAGAGCTTTCATTTTAATAATTTTAAATGAAAAGAAAAAAAACAAAATTATTTGGCATCAAGGCACAACCACCAATTTTTCTAAATAAAAAAAAAATTTAAATAAATTTAATAAAATAACAAGATTTATGTAAATTGAATTAACCAAGATTAATCTCTTAAAAAAATAAATTATCATATTTTAATAATTTTCTATTTTTATAATCTGGGTTCTAAAGGTTCCATTATGCATCCTTTTGTACAATCCTTTCTCTCTCTCTCTTTCTACTTTAGTCTTGTATCTATCAATTTTAGAATTCAAAATTTAAGATTCTTTTGTGCTCTCCACAAAATTTTTGCTCATTTTCAGCAGTAGAGCTCATTATAAACTCTCGCATTATTATTATTATCATCAATATTTTTCTATTATAATTAAATATATTTAATATATTGTGAAGGTAACATTCAGATTAGTTTTTGTCTTGGGAAATTTGATGAGACCTTAACAAATGCTGGTCATTTAAAGTAAAAATATTATTTGTCTTTGTTGCTCCCAATGTTTGAATATCGTCCATGTAGAAAAACAATACACCGAAATTTTATTAACAAAATAAATTTTATTTTTTATCGTCCGGTGTTTTTTCTTGTGACATTAATAAATTAGAAAAACCATCTGCGGCTGACAAAGATGGTGCAGATCGAATGGTTGGCAAATTACTTTTATCTGGAATTAAATTAGGAACTTGAACGAATAAATTGGCGGAATTATCCGGCGCCGTGATCAACGGTGTTTGATTTTCAGGTTCATATTGTTTTAAATCGGAAGAAAACGGCTGACAGTTTTTAGCTGTTATTTCACTTAATTGTACCTGATCCATATCGGAATTATTTAATAAAAAATTATCGGCCGTAATGGGTCGTTTCTCAAAGGATGATTCCCGAGATGCTTCGTCTTCATTTTGCATACTCGTTTCGGCAGCGGACGGAATGGTGGAAAGAAATCGAACTGTCAGTCTACCTGGTGAACCTGGTGGCATTATTAATTCGTAATCATCGCTTACTGCACTTTGTCTTGTCAAACGAGGTTTAGGTTTGGCCCTTGTTGAATTTATATCTGAATTAGGAATAATTTGAGTTCGGACGTCACTCGAAGCGCTTGATCTAGACATTCTCCACGTACTCGTACTTTGAGTTGTGGCAGAACCGGAAGAATCGTTTCGAGATGATGACAGATTTGAATCTTGAGATGTTTTCCTCGTGACCAACCAAGAATTAGCTCTTCTTTTTGGATCTAATAGCCTGAGAGGAATCCCGCAATGATGATGATGGTGATGGTGATGGTGGTGATGACTTTGTCTCCATGAATCGCTACGCGAAGAACTAAAGTTTTCACTGGATGAAACGGATGAGGCTCGCTTATGAGTTTTTTGCTGTATTTCAGCTATTTGGTAAGCATATTGATCGAAATGAGCGCGTCCACTACCATCGGTTCTTCTGTTTAGGCATAACATTATCCATTGAATCTAAAATCATAATGTGATAATTTTTTTAAATTTACGTAAGTAGTGTTGAAAATTTGAAAAAATTAATTTTAAAAGTTTTTTACCACATTTTCAATCCATCTCCTGGGACCTCTTATACTAGCTGTACTATCACGTCTTATAGTTCCAGAGGTACTGTCTGCCAGTAACTTAGCGCTACAATTACAATGTTGCTGATGAGAAGGCTGATGATCTTTGGAAGATCGATCAGCAAGGCTGTTGGTGTTGACAGGTGTTTGTCTGTTACTGAAATTAGAACTATGTCTACATCGTCCAATTCCACGAGTCACTTTTGATTCCTCTATAGTTTTACAAATAAGTATACAATCTTTTTTAAATTGCTTCGTCAATATTGCATATAAAAATGGATTACAGCAAGAATTAAGTGGTAAGACAAAAACTGTAAAAACTTTGGCTTGCTCTAAAGAGACAAGTTGAACTCCGAAGGCCGCCGTCAAAGAAAAGAACGCTATGGGAGACCAACAAAGAAAGTCAGTGAATACAAGGAGTGCCATTCTTTTTGCAATTCTAGAATCATTAGAATTCCAAGCTTGAGAACCGCGAATGGCACAATACATCTTCAAATAACATCCCATTAATATAAAAAAGGCTACGCCGTTGATAAGCATCAAAAATACTACGTAGGCCAAACTTACGGGAGTTTCCGTTTCAAAAGGGAGGCATATGGCAAATTTTCGGTAATCCGAAACTCCAAAAAGTGGAAATAAAGACATTATCAAAGCAAAACTCCAACCGCAGGCCATTATGTATCCTGCATGCTTAAGAGAGAGCCTTTTATTTAAATGCATGGCATGCGTTATTGCATAGTTTCTCTCCAGCGTGATCACTGCCAAAGTGTAAACGGATAATTCAGAACTTAAAACTCCTAAAAATCCGGCCAATTGACAGCCTACACTCATTTGCCACGGTATGGCATACATTCGAAATTCGCCTAAAGTAGACGCGTCGACCACGGCGAGAAATCCTAAATAAATTCCCATAAAAAAATCCGCTGCGGCTAAGTTGCAAACTAAAAATCGAGGTACGTCCATCTTACTTCGTGAAAAAATTAGAACGAACACAACCGTTCCGTTTCCCAACATGGCAAGCAAAAAAACGATCCACACTCCACATCTGAGTGTCCACCAATCAAATAAATCTTGACATGGTAAGAAAGGACCTAAAAAATTTAAAAAGTTTTTCAAAAATTTTATCTTTTATGTACCAGGAAATTCATCAAATTAAAAAAAAAAAATTATAATTACCGGGCAGAGGTAAACATTGAATTTTTCCACCAACATGATCGAGTGAATTTAATTTTGTTTCTTGTTCTTCAAAATATTCTTCTACGTAAGCTGGTAAGTTACCTGGGTAAGTAAAATCCGAACCGAAATTTTCCCAAAGTTCATTGATTTCCGTACCAAACTTTTTACTCAAGTTTTCTAAAACAAAAACAAAAAAAAATTTATTTTAAAAATAAGTGAATGTATAACGAACATTAACCGGATTAGACGAGGACTAAATATATATATTTTTTTAATAATTAAATAAAACTTACGAAGCTGAGGCCAAATGTCGGTTAAACTGGAATTCCATAAACTCATATCAAATTCATTATCGGTTGGAAAAAGAACAGATTCGTGAACGGTAGATTTTGGTGGGTCCAATGGAATGAGAGGAAGAAATGAGCAACAATGGTAGGCATACGATAAAACCTGTAATTATTTAATAACATTCAAAAGACATTTTTGATTTTCCTAATTTAAATACTTATTGATAAATTTGTTTTAAATTCTTATGATTTAAAAACTTTTCATTGTTTGATTGATAAATAATAAAAAATTTACTTACCAGAGTTTGAATTCTCGGAAAATTGTTTGGTAACGGAAAAGTTCTTAAATTAGGATTGTTGAAAGTTTTTAAATGAAGAAGTTTGTTTAAACCATTGGTGGGAAGAACAGGAAATACGTTATTGCCCAAATTTCTGGAAAAAAAAAATATCAATATGAAATTGATATAATAAATTATAGAAAATATTACAACAAATACTTACAAATCTTCCAATTGTTTAAAATTGACAAACGCATCTGGATGAATATTTTCAATATTATTTCCCTCCAAATCTCTGGAAAAAAAAAAAAAAAAAATATATTCTGTTGGACAAAATTTAAAAAATTATATTTTTATTTAATTTTAAATTTAAACTCACAATACTTGAAGTTTATCAAGACCGAAAAAAGCATCATCTGGAATATTGTAAATTAAATTGTGGGAAAGAAGTAAATCATGAAGTTGAGACAAACCTTTAAAAGGTTTATCTTCCAATGATGTAATTTGATTATGTGCCAAATCTCTAAAATATTAATTATTATATATATAAAAGATTAATATAAAATATTAAATTAAAATTATTTGTATATTTAAAAAAAAAAAAAAATTCAATACAAAATTTTTTTTTGATAAATCCTTACTCACAAAACGCGCAGGTCTTGGCACTCATTAAGATTTGGAACTTTGAACAATTTATTCCTTTTAAGATCTCTGACAAATAATTATTATTTCATTTATTATATAAAAAAAATAACTAATTAAAAATACATAAATAATTTTTTTTTTAAATTTCTTACATGCTTTTTAAACGAGGGCAGGTTTTACATAAAGATGGTGGAACATTATTCAAACTCGCTCTATCTAATCTTAAAACTTCTAATGAAATTGTTCCATTTAATATTGGAAAATCGGTCAGTTCTCTTGCTTCTGATAATGTTCTTAATGAATAATTACATGGAAAAAAAAAATAATTATAATTTTTATTTTTTTAAAGATTTTTTTTTTTAGATAAAATTTTACTGTCATAAATTCAACTCACAATTTTTGAAGATTTGGCAAATATGAAAAGGCATAGGGATCAATTCCCATTAATGGATTTCCCTGAAGTTCTATCAAACCTAAACTAGGAGATTTTTGAAATATCCCACCAGGAATGTATTTTATTTTATTATTTGATAGAGAAAGTTCTTGAAGAGAAACTAAATTTTGTAGTGCGATAGGAACTTCGGTTAAAAGATTACTATCGAGTTCCCTAAAAAATTAAAAAGGAAATTAGTAGATGTTAGTTAAATAGATTATTAATAGAAATTAGTAGAAATGATGAAAGATGTGATGAAAAATTTTTTTTCAATTGATAAAATTTAAGTGTGGAATACTCACAATACGCGAAGTGATGTTAAATTGACAAAAGCATCATCATCGACGTTAGAAATTAAATTTTTTTTTAATAATCTTAAAAATAAAAAATTATTAATGTAAACAAAAAAAAAATTTAATAACAATTACAATATGTCTATTAAAAAAAAAAAAGAAAACAACTTACAAAATATAAAGATTTTCAAGATTGGAAAAAATTTCTCCTTTTATAGAAGTTAACATGTTATTACCCAAATTCCTGGTAAAATATTATTTGATTTTATATATACAAAAATTTTTTCATTTAAATAAAAATAATAAGGGATGAATAAAAATTAACTTACAAAGCTTCAAGAGATTTTAAATTATTAAAAACTCCTGGAGAAATTAATTCTAGCCTGTTGCTTTCCAATTTTAAACTTCTTAAATGGATTAAATTATTTAAATCTCCATTTTTTATTTCATTTATTTTATTTTTATCCAATTGTCTAACAGAAAAAAAAAGAAAAGTTTATTATTATTATTATTTTAATATATTCATTCATTACATATTCATTTTTATTTATTTAAAATTAAATTTTTAAAAACTTATTAATTAATGTTGAGATATTATTATTATTATTATGCATATTACACTAATTAGGTAAAATTCGTAAATAATAAATTTAAGAAAGATGATAATAATAATAATATACAGAGTAATTTTCTTTTTACCTGATACTTTTTAATATTTAAATTTTCAAATTTAATACAAATAATAATAATAAAATTGAAATTATTACATCTTTGGGAGAAAAAATTTATTTATTTTAATTGTATATTTAAACATGTTCTTCATTTACTATAAATCATACTAAAAAATAATAATAATAATAATTTTCAGTATGAGTATATAAAAAAGAGGTAACTTACAAAGATGTTAAAGATTTAAGTTCTGATAAACTTTCTGTTGGAATATTACCAAGATCATTATTTTGTAAAGAAAGTCTTTTTAATTTATTATTATTTTTAAAAACTTTTGAATGTATTTCTTGCAAACTATTATCATTTAATAACCTAAAAATAAATAATTTATACATTTTAATTACATAATTATTTAGTTAAAAAAAAAATTACAACGTTTGATTACTTACAATTCTTCTAAATCAAATAATTGTGAAAAAATATCATGATGTAGTTGTGTTAAATTGTTACCGCTAAGATCTCTGAAATATATATAAAATAATTTTTTATAAATAATATAATAATAATAATAGTTTTTTTTATATAAAATAAATTAACAATTGTATCTTGTAATTTTTAAATAAAGATTTTATATTATTTATCAAGTAAATATATTTTATACAAAGGCTTTTGTTTCTTTGTTAAAAAAAAAAATGTGAGAAAATTTTGTGTAAAATTAATAATAATAATTTGTTTTAAAAATAAATTATGTAATCTGACTTGAAAAAAAAAAAAAAAAAAATTTTTCAATTAAATTAAAAGGGGGGGTTAGCGTGGGTTAGTTTGAAAAAAAAAAATCTTTTCACATTAAATGTTGAAAAATGCATTAATTTAAAATCAAGCTACTTTGTTTTGAGCCTGGTTATCTAAAATTTTCCATAATTTGATGACGTCAAAAACAGGGTGCCAACAGGGTTTCCATGGTAATGAAAACTCTTTTCAGATGCCGAATGTAAAAAAGAATAAAAACTAGAAAATAAAATTTTCTCATCGTGTGAATGGTTTTTCTCCCCTCCCCTCCCTCCTTCCATTCATTCTTTCCCTAAATCCGATAATAATAATAAAAAAATTTATTCAGATTTAACATTATTTAAATGATTTTACAGGGAGGATGGGGAGGGAGTGAGGAGAGGGAAGTCACGTTTGCATTTTTTGAATAATATTTAAATTAAATTAAGTTTTTTTTAAAAAAAATTATATAAAATTCCATTGAATATATATACCCGTTATAACGTTAAGTATGTTCCATGATAATCCAATAACATTACGTCATTAAACAAAAATTATTTTAAATTAAACAAACGAATAACGAAAAATTATATAACGTTACCAAAAAAAAAATAATGGTTTACAGTTACATTTTGTTTTTTTATAAAAGAAAACATTTTATGTAGATAAAATAATATACGTGACGCAAACGACGTAGAAAAAGATAATGGCGAAGAAGGAGGGAAAAAAAAAGGATCGGGTACGACAGGGTGACACGAAAGACCGGAAGTAGCAAAATTAGATAAAATTTTGTCGCCAAAATGCAATATAAAACCTTTTGTTTACATTTTTTTTTTTTGTATAAATAAAATTATTAACGAGTCGATAAAGCAAAAAAAAAAAAAAAAAAACATCTCACTGTAGTTTTATTTTTATGTTTTTTAACAAAAAATTTAGTTTTGTTTAAATCATCAATGTTTAAAAATAATAATATTATTCGTAAAATAAATGTTTTAATCAAATAAAATTTATTTGAAGAAAAAAAAAGAGCATTATAATAAAAAGAAAATTTAATGGGGTAAATAAAATTTTAAAAGTTTTTCTTTTTTTTTTTTTTTTGTGGCATTTGTTTTTAAATCAAAAACATAAAACATAGAAAATGTGAATTTTTAATTAACTGTTGAACTTTTTCTTTTAACTAACACAACAGTAAAAAGTTTTTTTTTTTTTAACTTTTTATAATTCTGATGTTTTATAATTATTAAGACATAAATATAATTACAAATAATTACTAGACTTTTAAAAATAATAATAATATTAATATTATATAATCTTTAATTAAAAACTTTTTAATGAAATTTGATTATTTTCAAAAATATTATTATTATTTTTTTGAAAGGCTGCGACACATTATAATAAAATATTATTTTTCTTATTTATATTTAATAAAATTTTTTTTTTTTTCGTCTGCTCCAACTTTAAATTATCCCCGTAATGTGTTTTTTATTTAGGATTTCATGTCTCTACAATTTTTTTTTTTTTTTTTTTTTTAATATTAAACCATTTAAATGTACCCCAAAAAAAAAAAAAAAAAATGGCTGACGTCATTTTTTTTTAATAATAATAAAAATTTTCAGCTTTTCTTAAGGTTTTCTCAACTTTTATTTATCCTTTTTTTTTTTTTTTTTTTTTTAAATTACACCCGTTTACATTAAATTTTTTTAATTCCCATTGTATAATTTTATTGTAGAAATAAAAATTCATAAAAGAGATAATAATAATATTATTATACACTTTTAAAATAAAAAAAAAAAAAAAATTATTTTTCGGTGAGATATTTATATTCAAATTATTGCTTTCACGCTTAATATTTTTTATTGGGAAAAATGACGTCACACACAAATTCAATAATAAAATAAAAATCAATATAGTTAACCCATTAATTTTAATAATTCCCTAAAAATTTTATTAAAAAAAAGGGTCCCTCCTCCTCCTCCTCCTCTCCTTAATAATAATTTCTTATTGGATTCTAATCAACCTTTTTCAAACCTTATCCAGATTATTTTCCTAATTAAATTTTAATAAATAGAAAATCCAATTCTCTCTCTCTCTCTCTCTCTCTGGAGATTTCACTTTAATAAATTTTTTTTAAATAATAAATAATAATAATAATAATAAAAAGTAACAAACAATATGTTTTAAACTTACAATTTAATGGTTGTTGTTGGAAATGATTGAGATGTAAAATTATTTATTCCAGTTTGTCGACATTCAATCTCCGTTCTATCAGAAGAACAATGACACAATTTAACATAATCACAAAAATTTGAACCGTTAAAAATTATTTTTTGTAATTGTGCACCACCCAAGGCCCAAATAAATAACATTGCCACAAATATATTATTATTAGGCCACAACATTTTCTCATTAATATATATATATAAATCTTCAATTATTTTCCAATATTATTATTATTATTATTATTATTATTTATTGATGGTAATAATAACATTTTAATTAATTTAGTAAATTGCCATTTTATTCGGCGAAGGCAATTACCATTAATAACTTTTGTTTTTTTTTTTAAATCCATGTTAAATTTTCGCTTCTTCATTCTTCACGTATCAATTTTATTATCTTCTTACTCAATTTATTTATTAACTGTATAAATAAACAAACAAACAAACAAATAAACAAACACTTAAATTAAATAAATTATTAATTTCAGTATAAAAAAAAAAAAAAAAAAATTGGAAAATTTTATAAATTAATAATTATAAAAAAGAAATTTAAATTATTATTATTATTATTATTATTTAATTATTATTGAAATTTGATTCAAGGATTACTACTCTAAATCTTTTAACCTATAATTTACCAAAATAATAATAATAATAATAATAAACGGTTAAACATTAATTTAATAAATTAAAATAAAATAATAATCCACGTGGGTTTAACGCGAATTTTTTTTTTTTTTTGGGGGGGGGGCGGGAATAACACACAAAAAT